TAGTAACTAGTGTAGTAGTGTAGTAACTAGTGTAGTAACTAGTGTAGTAGTGTAGTAGCTAGTGTAGTAACTAGTGTAGTAACAAGTGTAGTAGTGTAGTAGCTAGTGTAGTAACTAGTGTAGTAGTGTAGTATCTAGTGTAGTAACTAGTGTAGTAACTAGTGTAGTAACTAGTGTAGTAGTGTAGTAGCTAGTGTAGTAACTAGTGTAGTAACTAGTGTAGTAGTGTACTAGCTAGTGTAGTAACTAGTGTAGTAGTGTAGTAGCTAGTGTAGTAACTAGTGTAGTAGTGTAGTAACTAGTGTAGTAACTAGTTTAATAACTAGTGTAGTAACTAGTGTAGTAGTGTAGTAACTAGTGTAGTAACTAGTGTAGTAGTGTAGTAACTAGTGTAGTAACTAGTTTAGTAACTATTGTAGTAACTAGTGTAGTAACTAGTTTAGTAACTAGTGTAGTAACTAGTGTAGTAGTGTAGTAACTAGTGTAGTAGCTAGTGTAGTAGTGTAGTAACTAGTGTAGTAACTAGTGTAGTAACTATTGTAGTGACTAGTGTAATAACTAGTGTAGTAGTGTAATAACTAGTGTAGTAGCTAGTGTAGTAGATAGTGTAGTAGCTAGTGTAGTAACTAGTGTAGTAACTAGTGTAATAGTGTAGTAACTAGTGTAGTAGTGTAGTAACTAGTGTAGTAACTAGTGTAGTAGTGTAGTAACTAGTGTAGTAGTGTAGTAACTAGTGTAGTAACTAGTGTAGTAACTAGTGTAGTAGTGTAGTAACTAGTGTAGTAGTGTAGTAACTAGTGTAGTAACTAGTGTAGTAACTAGTGTAGTAGTGTAGTAACTAATGTAGTAACTAGTGTAGTAGTGTAGTAACTAGTGTAGTAACTAGTGTAGTAGTGTAGTAGCTAGTGTAGTAACTAATGTAGTAACTAGTGTAGTAGTGTAGTAACTAGTGTAGTAACTAGTGTAGTAGTGTAGTAACTAGTGTAGTAACTAGTGTAGTAGTGTAGTAACTAGTGTAGTTAGCCTGGTGGTCACCACCCGGTTATCTACACTAGCTACGTTGTGTCTGTGTAGGTGTATATCTGTGTGTTATGGCACAGTAGGGGGCACAGGTGGTGCATCAGCCAGTCATCTCAGTCATCTCAGTCAGTCGACCCGTGGTGGCACCTGGGTCTGCCCCGTGACCTCCTGTCAGCGGGCGTTCGACACTTCACGTGGCCTCAAGGTGCACATGGCCTGGCACAAGCGTCGTGGTGACGTCACCGCCACTTAGTGGCTATGGCGGTTGTTGTTGTTGTTTACTCTTTGGTTCTATTCGGCAAAGTCACGTAGGTTAAAATTAAAACAACAAAAATCACGACGTTTCGGCCACAACACAAGCGGCCTTCATCAGGTGAAGGGACGAGACTGTCTCCTCGACTGTCTCCTCGAGACAGTCTGGTCCCTTCACCTGATGAAGGCCGCTTGTGTTGTGGCCGAAACGTCGTGATTTTTGTTGTTTTATTTTTTTACCTACGTGACTTTACCCAATAGAACCAAAGAGTATGGATCCTTGCAGTCACGAAAGCTTCAAATCTAGGGTTGTTGTTATGTAGTAACTAGTGTAGTTAGCCTGGTGGTCACCACCACAGGTTGTTATGCTGTGAAGGGGAAAGCTACCCCGTGTGTTGGAACTTAATAAACGAGTTGCCGCCAAGTCTACGTCTGCGACTCAGTTGAACCCATTACAAATGTAACTTTTAAAAAAAAAAGCCGGTGCCGTAAAAACAAAACGTACACGGACAAACATCACGGGTCGCGGATCTCCCCGGACGGCGAGGGCAGCGGGGGCCGGTTGGACATTGCGAGCTGGCTGGGGGTATTTTTTGTTTGTTTTGTTTTAATACAACAGTAAAAGGTCGAAGCTTAGCTATAGCTTCGACCTCAGGTTATCCAAATGTAACTCGAGAATAGGAAGCACGGATCCCTGGCGATACAGACGGGGAATGGAGGTTAAGAAAACCCTGAGAATACCATTGGGAACAACTATGGTATAGCACAAATCTTGGTTAAGCATAAACCGAGTAACAATAATGATGAAAGTATTAGACCTACGGGCATTCAGCTGTGCCAGGCTAGGTGCAGGTGGAAGAGGTCACGGGACAGACCCTGCAGGTGCCATGGGTCGACTGCTGTTGTGCCAGGCTAGGTGCAGGTGGAAGAGGTCACGGGACAGACTCTGTAGGTGCCATGGGTCGACTGCTGCTGTGCCAGGCTAGGTGCAGGTAGAAGAGGTCACGGGACAGACCCTGCAGGTGCCATGAGTCGACTGCTGCTGTGCCAGGCTAGGTGCAGGTGGAAGAGGTCACGGGACAGACTCTGTAGGTGCTATGGGTTCACATGCTGTTGTGCCAGGCTAGGTGCAGGTGGAAGAGGTCACGGGACAGACCCTGTAGGTGCCATGGGACGACTGACTGAGATGGCCGACCGATGCACCACCTGTGCCCCCTACTGTGCCAACTCGCTGTGTTTTAGCCGCCCGGCGATCCGCTCGTTGTTGTAGCTGAACGACGGCTGCCTCCAACTGCCCAGTGGCATCCTTCACGAGTCTCCTCCACAGAGGCCGATCTTGACACCGCTGGTACCAGTCATCGGCAAGTCCACTCAGCTCCACGTCCTCCTGTACCACATCACTCCATCTCTTCTCTAGCCCGTGCCGCGCCCGCTAAGCCCCCTCAATCCGGCCGAACAAAAGCTGTTTCGGCATGCGGTGGCTGGGCATGCGGGCTACATGACCCATGTAAGCAAACACCAATTGCCCGTAACGTAACACTATTGAATACCGGCCATACTTATACACTTAGTAACAAACAAAAAAATGTTCCTGGGTAGTAGGTTTTAGTTTCTAATCGCTTATGCCTCAAAAGTGCGTAAAATGGCTCTTTATTCACCACAAAATTTACTTTTGCGACCAGGACAGTGATATTTTGAAATGTTCCTATTTGGCTAGCCTTTTGACTGGCTAGCCTTTTGAGGCATACGCAATTAGGAAATAACACTTACTACCCAGGAACATAAAATCGTGTTACATAGTGAAAAAGGTAAATTTCAAATGTCAATGTCCTGGTACCTGCTATCACTACAGCAGTGCATACTGTGGTGGTACCTGCTATCACAGCAGTGCATACTGACTGTGGTGGTACCTGCTATGATTACAGCAGTGCATACTGACTGTGGTGGTACCTGCTATGATTAAAGCAGTGCATACTGACTGTGGTGGTACCTGCTTTCACTACAGCAGTTCATACTGTGGTGGTACCTGCTATGATTACAGAAGTGTATACTGACTGTGGTGGGACCTGCTATGATTACAGCCGTGCATACTGACTGCGGTGGTACCTGCTTTCACTACAGCAGTACATACTGTGGTGGTACCTGCTATGATTACAGCAGTGCCTACTGACTGTGGTGGTACCTGCTATGATTACAGCAGTGCAAACTGATTGTGGTGGTACCTGCTATGATTACAGCAGTGCAAACTGATTGTGGTGGTACCTGCTATGATTACAGCAGTGCAAACTGAGTGTGGTGGTACCTGCTATGATTACAGCAGTGCAAACTGATTGTGGTGGTACCTGCTATGATTACAGCAGTGTATACTCACTGCGGTGGCACCTGCTATGATTACAGCAGTGTATACCGACTGTGGTGGTACCTGCTATGACTACAGCAGTACATACTGACTGTGGTGGTACCTGCTATTATTACAGCAGTGTATACTGACTGCGGTGGTACCTGCTTTCACTACAGCAGTGTATACTGACTGCGGTGGCACCTGCTATGACTACAGCAGTGTATACTGACTGTGGTGGTACCTGCTATGATTACAGCAGTGCATACTGACTGCGGTGGTACCTGCTATGATTACAGCAGTGCATACTGACTGTGGTGGTACCTGCTATGATTACAGCAGTGCATACTGACTGTGGTGGCACCTGCTATGATAACAGCAGTGTATACTGACTGCGGTGGTACCTGCTATGACTACAGCAGTGCATACTGACTGTGGTGGTACCTGCTATGACTACAGCAGTGCATACATACTGTGGTGGTACCTGCTATGACTACAGCAGTGTATACTGACTGTGGTGGCACCTGCTATGACTACAGTAGTGCATACTGACTGTGGTGGTACCTGCTATGATTACAGCAGTGCATACTGACTGTGGTGGCACCTGCTATGACTACAGTAGTGCATACTGACTGTGGTGGTACCTGCTATGATTACAGCAGTACATACTGACTTTGGTGGTACCTGCTTTCACTACAGCAGTTCATACTGTGGTGGTACCTGCTATGACTACAGCAGTGTATACTGTGGTGGCACCTGCTATCACTACAGTAGTACATGCTGACTCTATAGCAGTGTTTATATATCGACTCTAAAGCACAAAGTCCTCACCTGACAGACTGCCGTGGTGAGGCCTAGTCCCGTGCAGAGCCCCCGGCCTCGCCTAGATTGCCCAGCCGGCCGAGGCTGTGGGCAGGGCCGCTACCCCCCCTCCCCCACCCCCCCCCCCCACCACCCCGGGCTACAATAACACCATCTAAGCGCTATAATATTAATATCTACAGAACCCACAGTAGTAAGTGCACACATTGGGGTGGGTGGCGAGAGAAGAGGTGGTGACACTTTGATTAATTTACCTCAGCGTTCCGTGTACATTTTACATTCTTGGTTATTTCGGTGAAGTCACGTTGAAGGGAAACAGTAAAATAATAAAATATGAATCACTGCAGTCACGAAAGCTTTAAATCAAAAGTGTAAAATTTATTTATAATCTTAGTTGAATTTTGAACGTGAGGTAGAAATCCCCCCCCCACCCCCCAGCGATGACGCGCGGGCGTTGCCAGGGGCAACCCCCGGTCAGCTGTAGCCAATTGATGAAATAATTAAACAATGATACATCGCACTAACTTGTCAATTTAACTACTTTAACGTTGACGGATGGGAAAACGGAATATCCTATGCCAAGCACGGGGCTTACGGCGTGTTACCAGGCTAATTGTTTTTTTACATAAACCCCACGGTCCGCGAGAAAAATCCTTCGCAAGTTGCATGTACACAGACGGACAGAGGAACCTGATTGTGAGGTTTGTAGTCGGTGTCTCTGCGTCGACATCAGCAGCACCTTGGAACAGGTGAAGAAGAAGACCAACTTAGTCAAACTCACTCACTCATTCACTCACTCATTCACTCACTCACACATTCACTCACTCATTCACTCACTCACTCATTCATTCACTCACTCATTCACTCACTCACACATTCACTCACTCATTCACTCACTCATTCGCTCACACATTCACTCACACATTCACTCATTGACTCACTCATTCACTCACTCACTCACCCACTCACTCACCCACTCACTCATTCACTAATTCACCCACTCACACATTCACTCATTCACTCACTCACATTCACTCACCCACTCACACATTCACTCATTCACTCATTCACTCACTCTTTCACTCATTCACTCACTCACACATTCACTCACACATTCACTCACTCATTCACTCACTCACTCATTCACTCACTCATTCGCTCATTCACTCACTCACACATTCACTCACACATTCACTCACACATTCACTCACTCATTCACTCACTCATTCACTCAATCACTCACTCATTCACTCACTCATTCACTCACTCATTCACTCACTCACACTCATTCACTCACTCACACATTCACTCACTCATTCACTCACTCATTCACTCAGTCATTCACTCAATCACTCACTCATTCACTCACTCACACATTCACTCACACATTCACTCACACATTCACTCACTCATTCACTCACTCATACACTCGCTCACTCATTCACTCAATCACTCACTCATTCACTCACACATTCACTCACTCAATCATTCACTCACTCATTCACTCACTCATTCACTCACACATTCACTCACTCATCCACTCACTCATTCACTCACACTCACGTACTTATTCACTCACTCACTCATTCACTCACTCATTCACTCAATCACTCACCCACTCACTCATTCACTCACCCACTCACTCATTCACTCATTCACTCACTCACACTCATTCACTCACTCATTCACTCACTCATTCACTCACTCATTCACTCACACTCATTCACTCAGTCACACTCATTCACTCACTCACCCACTCACACATTCACTCATTCACTCATTCATTCACTCACACATTCACTCACACATTCACCCACACATTCACTCACTCATTCACTCACTCATTCACTCACTCATTCACTCAATCACTCACTCATTCACTCACTCACACATTCACTCACTCATTCACTCACTCACTCACCCATTCACTCATTCACTCACTCATTCACTCACTCATCCACTCACTCATTCACTCACACATTCTCATTCATTCACTCACTCATTCACTCACTCACACTCACTCATTCACTCACTAACACTAATGCATTCATTCACTCACTCACACTCATTCACTCACTCACACTCGTTCACTACTTTAACGTTGACGGATGTGAAAACGGAATAGCCTATGCCAAGCACGGGGCTTACGGCGTGTTACCAGGCTAATTGTTTTTTGACTTAAACCCCACGGTCCGCGAGAAAAATCCTTCGCAAGTTGCATGTACACAGACGGACAGAGGAACCTGATTGTGAGGTTTGTAGTCGGTGTCTCTGCGTCGACATCAGCAGCACCTTGGAACAGGTGAAGAAGAAGACCAACTTAGTCAAACTCACTCACTCACTCATTCACTCACTCATTCACTCACTCACACATTCACTCACTCATTCACTCACTCATTCACTCACTCATTCACTCACACTCATTCGCACACTCATTCACTCATTCACTCACACTCATTCACTCACTCACCCACTCACACATTCACTCATTCATTCACTCACTCATTCACTCACTCACTCATTCACTCACTCACACATTCATTCACACATTCACTCACTCATTCACTCACTCATTCACTCACCCACTCACACATTCACTCATTCACTCACTCATTCACTCACTCATTCACTCACTCACTCATTCACTCGCTCATTCACTCACACTCATTCACACACTCATTCACTCATTCACTCACACATTCACTCACTCATTCACTCACTCATTCACTCACTCATTCACTCATTCATTCACTCACTCACTCATTCACTCACTCACTCATTCACTCACTCACACATTCACTCACACATTCACTTACTCATTCACTCACTCATTCACTCACACTTTCACTCATTGACTCACTCATTCACTCACTCACCCACTCACTCATTCACTCACCCACTCACTCATTCACTCACACATTCACTCACACATTCACTCACACATTCACTCACACATTCACTAATTCACCCACTCACACATTCACTCATTCACTCACTCACAATCATTCACTCACTCACCCACTCACTCACTCATTCACTCACTCACTCACTCATTCACTCACTCATTCACTCATTCACTCACTCACACATTCACTCACACATTCACTCACTCATTCACTCACTCACTCATTCACTCACTCACTCATTCACTCACTCATTCACTCATCCACTCACTCATTCACTCACTCATTCACTCACACTCATTCACTCACTCACTCATTCACTCACTCACTCATTCACTCACACATTCACTCACTCATCCACTCACTCATTCAATCACTAATTCACTCACACTCACTTACTTATTCACTCACTCATTCACTCACTCATTCACTCATTCACTCACTCATTCACTCATTCACTCACCCACTCACTCATTCACTCACCCACTCACTCATTCACTCATTCACTCACTCACACTCATTCACTCACTCATTCACACTCATTCACTCACTCATTCACTCACTCATTCACACTCATTCACTCACTCATTCACTCACTCACACTCATTCACTCACTCATTCTCATTCATTCACTCATTCACTCACTCACACTCAATTACTCACTCACACTCATTCACTCACTCACACTAATGCACTCACTCACACTCATTCACTCACTCACACTCATTAACTCACTCACTCACTCCCTCACCCAGACTCACCCACACTTATTAACAGACTGTAGGGGCAAGTGCTGTTAGCGAGCACCTATGAAGGTCAGAACGGCTCACGAGGGGGTGGGTGGCCAGCACCACGCCCGACCGCCTTTGTCTCCCCAGCGGCGATGTTTACTACACTACACCGCACCAGGTACTCATTTGAGGCTGAGTCGACCTAGGGGAGGCCCAGGACCGGTTCAGATAATCGTCACTGGTGTTGGCCGTGAGCGGGAATCCAACCCGGGTCGCCAGGTTCATAGCGCAGCGTAGCGCTAACCACTACACTACCGCTCCCACTCACCCAGACTCACCCACACTGTTTCACTCACTCACACTCACCCACTCACGCTCATTCACTCACAACAACCACCGCCATTCGCCACTAAGTGGCGGTGACGTCACCACGACGCTTGTGCCAGGCCATGTGCACCTTGAGGCCACGTGAAGTGTCGAACGCCCGCTGGCAGGAGATCACGGGGCAGACCCAGGTGCCACGGGTCGACTGACTGAGACGACTGGCTGATGCACCACCTGTGCCCCCTACTGTGCCAACCTCCTCTACTTTAGCCACCCGGCGCTCCGCTCGTTGTTGTGAGCGTGGCTCCTCCGCCCTCCGTTATTGTTGGAGGGCGACTGCCTCCAACTGCCCAGTAGCGTCCGTCACGACCCTCCTCCACAGAGGCCGATCTTGACACCGCTGGTACCAGTCATCGGCAAGTCCACTCAGCTCCACGTCCTCCTGTACCACATCACTCCATCTCTTCTCTAGCCCGTGCCGCGCCCGTTTAGCCCCCTCGATCCGGCCGGACAAAAGCTGTTTCGGCATGCGGTGGCTGGGCATGCGGGCTACGTGACCCAGCCAACGCAGCATTGCCTGCCGGAGGAGCTCACCGATGGGAACTTGCCCAGATCTTTCAAGGATTTTTAGGAGCTCCTCACACAATCCAGCTTGGTTAAACCCAGGATGGATCGTAGACTGGCTAGCCTAAATGTTTCTAACCGGCGAAGATGTTCCATTAGGGGGGTCCACGTTTCGCAAGCGTAGAGAAGGGAGGGAATGACCGTGGCCGAGAAGACCTGAAGCTTAGTGCGGAGCGACATACCAGGTAGCTTCCACACAGCGTTACGCAACCGATGAAAAGATATTGCCGCTCGACTGATTCATTCATTCACTCATTCACTCACTCACACTCACTCACCCACACTCATTCACTCACTCACACTCACCCAGACTCACCCACACTCATTCACTCACTCAACCACACTCACCCACACTGGTTCACTCACTCACACTCACCCAGACTCACCCACACTCACTCACTCACACTCATCCAGACTCACCCACACTCATTCACTCACTCACACTCACCCACACTCACCCACTCACTCACACTTACCCACTCTCATTCACTCACTCACACTCGCCCACAATCACCCACTCACTCACACTCACCCACTCTCATTCACTCACACTCACCCACACTCACCCACTCACACTCACCCACTCACTCACACTCACCCAGACTCACCCACTCACACTCACCCAGACTCACCCACTCACTCACACTCACCCACACTCACCCACTCACCCACACTCACCCAGACTCACCCACTCACTAGCACTCACCCAGACTCACCCACACTCACTCACACTCACCCAGACTCACCCACACTCATTCACTCACTCACACTCACTCAGACTCATCCACTCATTCACACTCACCCAGACTCATTCACTCACTCACACTCACCCAGACTCACCCACCTAAACTCACTCACCCACACTCACCCACACTCACCCACACTCACTCACACTCACCCACCCACACCCACACTCACCCACACCCACCCAGATTCATCCACACTCATTCACTTACTCAGCTAAACTCACTCACCCACTCACTCACACTCACCCACTCTCATTCACTCACCCACACTCACCCACACCCACCAAGATTCATCCACACTCATTCACTTACTCAGCTAAACTCACTCACCCACACTCACCCACTCACCTACTCACACTCACCCACACTCACCCACACTCACCCACACTCACCCACACTCACCCACCCACTTGACCAACCTGAACGTGACATTTGCAGTCGGTGTCTTTTCGTCTACATCAGCAGCCGCGTGTGACACAAAGCAAAGAGAGAGAGAGAGGGAGAGAGAGAGATATAAATATACGGCGATAAAGACCCCGGATCTATAAAATCGATCTATAAATATTTCTGATCGTCACGGTCAACCTTTAACGTTCTGCCGTGCGTCGATTACTACGATTGATCCATCACAGAGGTCTTCTGGATTACATCGTGTAAATATGGTCATTGAGCCGGATGCCATGGGAAGATATCACTTGGTTTCTGTTGGATTGGCATGAAATAATTACTGATTAGTCGGTATGTGAGCTCGCTGCTGATGAATCACATCTGTCATTAAACCGAATCGTCCAGTTGCAGCTTGTTCGAAACGGGAGTCGTAAGATTTCCCGTTCTCAATAGTGACGACACACAGACACACACACAGGACCACCATCAACACTACCACCATCAACACTACCACCACCATCACCATCAACACTACCACACCATCACCATCAACACTACCACCATGACCACCACCATCAACACTACCACCATCAACACTACCACCATCATCACCATCAACACTACCACCACCACCATCAACACTACCACCACCACCATCAACACCATCACCATCAACACTACCACCATCAACACTACCACCACCATCACCATCAACACTACCACCACCATCAACACTACCACCACCATCACCATCAACACTGCCACCACTACCACCATCAACACTACCATCACCATCAACACTACCATCACCATCACCACCATCACCATCAACACTACCACCACCATCACCATCAACACTACTACCATCATCACCATCAACACTACCACCACCATCAACAATACCACCATCACCATCAACACTACCACCATCACCACCATCAACACTACCACCACCATCACCATCAACACTACCACCATCATCATCATCAACACCACCACCATCAACACTACCATCACCATCAACACTACCACCATCAACACTACCACCACCATCAACACTACCACCACCATCAACACTACCACCATCAACACTACCACCACCATCACCATCAACACTACCACCACCATCACCATCAACACTACCACCACCATCAACACGCCTACCACCATCAACACTACCACCACCTTCAACACTACCACCACCATCAACACTACCATCACCATCAACACTAACACCACCATCACCATCAACACTGCCACCACTACCACCATCAACACTACCATCACCATCAACACTACCATCACCACCATCACCATCAACACTACCACCACCATCACCATCAACACTACTACCATCATCACCATCAACACTACCACCACCATCAACACTACCATCACCATCAACACTAACACCACCATCACCATCAACACTACCATCACCATCAACACTACCACCATGACCATCAACACTACCACCACTACCACCATCAACACCACTACCACCATCACCATCACCATCAACACTACCACCATCACCACCACCACCACTACCACCACCATCACCATCAACACTACCACCATCACCATCAACACTACCATCACCATCAACACTACCACCATCACCACCATCATCACCACCACCACTACCACCACCACCACCATCATCACTACCATCACCACTAGCACCACCATCTCCACCACCATGAACACTACCACCACCATCAACACTACCACCACTATCACCAACACCTTCACCACTACCACCACCAAAACCACCAAAATCACCACTACCACCACCATAACCACCACCATAACCACCACCATCAACACTACCACCACCATAACCACCGCCAAAATAACCACCATCACCACCACGACCACCATCAATTCTACCAACGCAATCTTCACCACCATCACCATCACCGCCATCACCATCACCGCCATCACCACCACCACTACCGCTATCACCACCAACACCATCACCACCATCATCACCACCACCACCATCATCACTACCATCACCACTAGCACCACCATCTCCACCACCATGAACACTACCACCACCATCAACACTACCACCACTATCACCAACACCATCACCACTACCACCACCATAACCACCACCATCAACACTACCACCACCATAACCACCACCATCAACACTACCACCACCATAGCCACCGCCATCATGACCACCATCACTACCACGACCACCATCAATACTACCAACGCCATCTTCACCACCATCACCACCATCAGCATCACCGCCATCACCACCACCACTACCGCCATCACCACCGACATCACCACCAACATCACCACCGACATCACCACCATCATCACCACCACCACCACCATCAACACCACCATCACCACTACAACCACCATCACCAATACCAGCATGGACCATCGACCTCCCGGTCTCAATAGTGACAGCACTACGCTCGGCCGCATTTGTCTCCCGAGTGGCGATGCGTACACACCGTAGCAGGTAACTCATTTGAGGCTGAGTCGACCTAGGCGAGGCCCAGGACCGGTTCAGATAATCGTCAAAGGTGTTGGCCGTGAGAGGGAATCGAACTCGGGTCGCTGGGTTCATAACGCAGCGTAGCGCTAACCACTACACTACCGCTCCCACTCACCCACAGGCACCAACTGGCACCCACAATCACTCACCCACACTAATTCACTCGTTCACTTACCCACAATCACCCACACTCACTCACCCACAATCATTCACTCACTCACCCACAATCACCCACACTCATTCACGCTCAGCCACTCACTCACACTCACCCAGACTCACTCACCCACAATCATTCACTCACTCACTTACCCACAATCACCCATACTCAATCACTCATCCACAATCATTCACTCACTCACTCACCCACAATCACCCACACTCATTCACGCGCACCCACTCACTCACACTCACCCAGACTCACTCACCCACAATCATTCACTCACTCACCCACAATCATTCACTCACTCACCCACAATCGCCCACACTCATTCACTCACTCACCCACAATCATTCACGCTCACCCACTCACTCACACTCACCCAGACTCACTCACCCACACTAATTCACTCACTCACTTACCCACAATAATCCACACTCAATCACTCACCCACAATCATTCACTCACTAACTCACCCACAATCACCCACACTCAATCACTCACCCACATTCATTCACTCACTCACTCACCCACAATCACCCACACTCAATCACGCTCACCCACTCACACTCACCCAGACTCACTCACCCACAATCATTCACTCACTCACTCACCCACAATCACCCACACTCATTCACGCGCACCCACTCACTCACACTCACCCAGACTCACTCACCCACAATCATTCACTCACTCACCCACAATCATTCACTCACTCACCCACAATCGCCCACACTCATTCACTCACTCACCCACAATCATTCACGCTCACCCACTCACTCACACTCACCCAGACTCACTCACCCACACTAATTCACTCACTCACTTACCCACAATAATCCACACTCAATCACTCACCCACAATCATTCACTCACTAACTCACCCACAATCACCCACACTCAATCACTCACCCACATTCATTCACTCACTCACTCACCCACAATCGCCCACACTCATTCACTCACTCACCCACACTCATTCACGCTCAGCCACTCACTCACACTCACCCAGACTCACTCACCCACAATCATTCACTCACTCACTTACCCACAATCACCCACACTCAATCACTCACCCACAATCATTCACTCACTACACTCATTCACGCTCACCCACTCACTCACACTCACCCAGACTCACTCACCCACACTAATTCACTCACTCACTTACCCACAATCACCCACACTCAATCACTCACCCACAATCATTCACGCTCACCCACTCACTCACACTCACCCAGACTCACTCACCCACACTCACGCTCACCCACTCACTCACCCACAATCATTCACTCAGTCACCCTCACTGAATCATTCACTCACGCACCCACCAACACCCACCCTCTCAATCACTCACACCCAACCACTCACTCACTTAATCACACCCACCAACTCACCCACCCATACTCATTCACTCACACCCAACCACTCATTCACCTCACACGTACCCACTCAACCACCCACACTCATTCACTCACTCAATCACACTCATTCACTCAATCACACTCATTCACTCACTCAGACTGATTCACTCACTCACACTCAATCACTAAATCACACTGATTCACGCACTCATTCATTCACTCATTCACTCACTCACCCACCCACACTCATTCACTCACTAACCCGCTCACCCACACTCATTCACTCACTCACCCACACTCATTCATTCACTCACTCACACTCACTCACTCAACCACACTCATTTACTCACTCACCCACTCGCCCACACTCATTCACTCACTCACTCTCATTCACTCACCCACACTCATTCAATCACTCACCCACTCACCACACTCACCAAACTCAGCCACTCGCTTGACCAACCTGAATGTGAAATTTGCAGTCGGCGGTCTCTGCGTCTACACCAGCAGCCACGCCGGACCCAGCAAACGCTGCGTGTATATAATAAATATATCCCCGATCGTACAAAGTTCTCCGTTGAAGGCGTTTCACTGCCCACACCGTTCATTAATAACGACACAATAAAGTTTGCGACGGACGGTGCACCCTGTTTGAGCGGCTCAACTCGACCTACGAGTTCTCTTGTACTTAATAAAGAACTAAAGCTTTCCAGACTGCATAAATTACTCATTTTTCTTTTCGGTAAAGTCACGTATGTATAAATACCGTAAAATGATATTGAAGTAAATCAATCATGACGTTTCGACCGCGACACAACAGCGATCTTCATCAGGTGTAAAAAAACAAATAGCGAGGGAGCATATAGGGTGACATCAACGCAACACTTTGAGAGCGTTAGACTTGCACGGAGGTAAATACAACAATAAGATGAGAATTCAACAAACCTAAGAAAAATGTATGTGATGCGAAACCATTTGGCATTGTCTCCGTACTGTTCAACACGAAGGCTTTCGAGACTGATATCATCCATAATAGA